AATTACATCACATTTTCCCTATTAAAACATTTCTCTCATAGCTAAGAATTCATTGCCTCAGGGTAAGAAACTGTAAAAGAGACATGATTATGCCCAAGAGCATACATGCCAACAGAATACAGTCAGGATCTGGATAGTCCAGTGTTGTCTCTTTGCATGGGCCACACAGTTTGATCACAAATTTAGTGGTAATTATTGGTTACATAGCTCTTTAAAGCCAATTTAAAGTTTATTTTATGACTTCTGAGAGTGTCCCCAAGGTAGACACCCTAGATGTGAAGTTTGTTCTGAAGACACCTCATATATTTTCATGTACTTAAATCATGAAGTGTAGCTACACAAAACTACCAATCATAACAGCTAACTTAAAACATCTACAATCAGGAACTGTTTATTTCTTCATGGCAGGAGGTTGGACTGGATGGCCCTTATAGCTTCCAACTAAGCTACATCTCTGATATTGAGGCAAACAACATCAAAATAGTTATAATCATCAGTACCATAGCTATAAATATTGTGAGAATGCCAGAAGTATGTAAATACCAATTGATGTGGACAGAATCCTGGACCAAATTAATTCTGTATCTGGTTCAGCAAGGCAGTAATGATGCTGTACGAAGCAATGGCCACTGGGGTTGCACTGTGAAGATGTGAGGAATAGGGAAAGGGACAGACTAGCAGCCTTGCCACAAGATGATTTCTGCTTATTATGGCAAACGTTTCCTCTTTGAAACATGACAACTATCTAAACTCCAATCCTACATGCAAACAGATGCTTGGGTAGGATCATATAATGGTGTATCACAAAATTCTTCTAAATTGTACTATGGAACTACAAGTTGCCTCCAGAACGCCTTGAATTATATCCAGATTTCTCATAAGTGTACACCAGACAACCCAGAGCATTAAAGCTTGCTTTTATAACATGTAAAATATCTGTATATATCATCTGGATGTAAGATTTTGAGGAGGCAAATATTTTATGATTGAATTTACAGCTCTTACTCTGATGTTCTAAAACAAAAATATTTCCATGCAACAATAATACTTTATTATTTTGACATTTAAACAAGTGTAGAATTTATGGTATGTACAGAGATGAAAGGTATGAGTCAGATCTTCTAAAAAAGTATATCTGAATTTCTTTATGAACAAAACCCAACAAAGTTTCTATTCAGCATTTGTGGTTTTGTATTTACATAAATAAAATTTATTCTTCTTTGTCAACCCCCCCCCCCCCCCAGAATTGAAATAGTAAATATTCATAATTAAGTAGTTCAGCAATATATCTGTTATTGGAAAGAAATGTGAGTGAAGTAAAGTCAAACCAAGCTACTCAAAACTTTATGGCCTATCTTTAAAAATGGAGAATGTGTACTTTCAGATCATAGGACAGTCAAAAACCCTATTACAACAGAAGCCAGTGAAAAATGTGTTCATACAGAAGTATCCCTTTAGAAACGGAATGAAAATATTAGGGTGTTTAAATAAAATGAATGAAAACACATTCAAGAGGTTTAAAGATGTACAACAGTACTAGTTATACTGTCCTAGTGATCTTAGTTGAGTTCAATTAGTTCCTCCTATTGCATCCAAAATGGAAATTGAACCCAAAAACAGGTACATGTTAATAACTAACGAGGATTTTGAATGAGGTTGTTCTAGACCCCCATACACCATGGTTTGTGAAGATGGCAACATTACAAACTGGGTCATATTGTCAAATATGTTAAACTTGTGTAATTTGTATGGGCTAATTTAGATCAATTAAATTTATTTTTATGCTGAATCTCAATAATATATATATATATATATATTATCTAGAATCCAGTCTGTAAGCAGTTGCTAATAAAGCCCTAAACGGCCCCAGTCCAAATTACCTGTCCGAACGCATCTCCCCCTATGAACCATCGCAGAGGTTAAGATCCTCCGGGGAGGCCCTGCTTTCCGTCCCGCCATTGTCACAGGCACGATTGGTGGGGACGAGAGACAGGGCCTTCTTGGTGATTGCTCCCCGGCTATGGAACTCCCTTCCTGGTGAGATCAGGTCAGCCCCCTCTCTCCTGTCCTTTAGAAGGTTGGTAAAAACTTGACTGTGGGACCAAGGTTTCAGGACAGGGCAATAAAGCGGCAATAGGAAAGATAACCAGGTAAATGATTTGACGTGGATGACTAGGATGGTTTTAAATGGTGTATTTTAATTTTTTGATAAATGTTTTTAATGTTTATGTATTGTATGTGAATCTGTGTCCCGGCATTGAATGTTTGCCGTGTATATGCTGTGCTCCGCCCTGAGTCCCCTTCGGCGTGAGAAGGGCGGAATATAAATGTATTAAATAAACAAACAAACAAACAAGGAAATTTGCCCATCATTGCAAGTCACGACTGTGCTCTTCTGCATTGCGTTTTCCATGAAAAAGTACTAATACTCAAATCTTGAAAAATATTTTGGTTGTCTGATTTGTTTTCTTGTACCCATTGTTTTTTAATGGTATTGCAATTCAACTGTCTCAAAGTAATAGCTTTCTGTAAGTGTGTTGCCAGAACAAAGTAAAATTCTATTTCTTTATGAAAGGCAGCGTAAAATACCTAAAGATGAATTCCCTGGGTTACAAACAAGATTGATTCTGTATGTTTGTTCTTAAGTTTAATTTGTATGTAAGGGAAGGGTTAACATCCCTGTAACCTTTGTTTTGTCATCTGTGCTCTTGTTCAAATGATTTCACCTCACTTTCTGTCCCTACCAGATTTTGAAAATTTTGGGTTGTTATAGAAACAAGGATTGGTGAGAAAGCTTCAGTGGATACACCTAGATAAAGTCTTGCAGTCCAAAACATACCAAGACTGAATCTTCAGTTAATTTTACATGTGTTCATTCTTAAGTATCTTATTCCCATTGACATAAAATGTGATTTTAGCTTTGAATATATTTTAATGGATTGTAATTGTGAATTTTTAATACTGTTATTTTCAATTCTGTTTTAATGTTTGCATATTCGTATATTTTAAATTGTGTGGCAATACTTCTAACGTAAGCCACTTTGAGTCTCCTTCGAGAGAGATAAAGCAGAGTATAAATAAATATAATAAGAATTATATGAATTTAAATGTGTACTTTAATGTATTTTCTCTCAGTGTGAAATTCTAGACATGTATGCATTTTATATCCATTTTAGGAATTCATTTACAGCACTGCAAAATTAGGATAAGTTCAAGAACCCAAGAACACATCATGCGATGTGCGGGGCTTGATGAATGCAAAGCTGGGGTGAAAATTGCTGGAAGAAACATTAACAACCTCAGATATGCAGATGACACCACTCTGATGGCCGAAAGCGAGGAGGAGCTGAGGAGCCTTCTAATCAAGGTGAAAGAAGAAAGCGCAAAAGCTGGGTTGCAGCTAAACATCAAAAAAACCAAGATTATGGCAACAAGAATGATTGACAACTGGAAAATAGAGGGAGAAAATGGAGGCCGTGACAGACTTTGTATTTCTAGGCGCAAAGATTACTGCAGATGCAGACTGTGGCCAGGAAATCAGAAGATGCTTCCTTCTTGGGAGGAGAGCAATGTCCAGTCTCGATAAAATAGTAAAGAGTAGAGACATCAGACTGGCAACAAAGATCCGCCTAGTCAAAGCCATGGTATTCCCTGTAGTAACCTACGGATGTGAGAGCTGGACCTTAGGGAAGGCTGAGCGAAGGAAGATCGATGCTTTTGAGCTGTGGTGTTGGAGGAAAGTTCTGAGAGTGCCTTGGACTGCGAGAAGATCCAACCAGTCCATCCTCCAGGAAATAAAGCCCGGCTGCTCACTGGAAGGAAGGATACTAGAGACAAAGTTGAAGTATTTTGGCCACATCATGAGGAGACAGCAAAGCCTAGAGAAGACAATTATGCTGGGGAAAGTGGAAGGCAAAAGGAAGAGGGGCCGACCAAGGGCAAGATGGATGGATGGCATCCTTGAAGTGACTGGACTGACCTTGAAGGAGCTGGGGGTGGTGACGGCCGACAGGGAGCTCTGGCGTGGGCTGGTCCATGAGGTCACGAAGAGTCGGAGACGACTGAACGAATGAACAACAACAACAAAAGGAGGCATGGATCAGGATGTGCCTCCTTTCTCAAAAGTGGACCAAACGCAATCTCGAGCATCCTTACTGGCAGAAAAATGTTCTATCGTGTCCACAGTATTAAAGTGTGTAATATGCATCACCCTTTTCCCCTTTGTTTCCTTCTCTCCATGTCTACATTATCCTACCTCTGTTTTAATATCCTATAGCCTTGAACCAGATTTACAGAAAAGCGTATCCATGTCCTGGGGCATCCTGAGTGGAATTATTTCAACAGAAGACCTCCCCTTTCCCACTCTACTATATTACAATTTCCTTTTGGAGATTGCTCAGATTTTTGCCATGTGGTATGTGTGTTTTTGGCATTCTAGAAATATAAAATGAAAATTTCTTGCAACATGCAAAACCAAGAAACCAATTAATAGGATCATGACCAGCATTTTTTTCCAATAAATCTAATGGTTCATGGTAGAAAAATGTTTTCAACTTTTCAAGCACTTTTTTCAGCTGGATATTCCAACTTTTTGATGCTGGCCAGAAATGTGCACACAAATGCCACAATCTTATTCTTTCTTTGCCCAGGTGAGACATGGGGATCTTCTTTGTACATGCCTTTAACTCAATGCAAGTTGGAAGTGTGATATAACTAATAATTAACTGCATCTTTATGGACAATTTAAAAGCCAAAACAGTAGTTCTTTTAAAAAAAAATAATGTGAGATCATATTGAAACCTTGTTTGTGAATTTACATAATCCCCTGTAACCCGACAGCTAGTCCTTTAAGCAGCATTTCTATTTGTCTATTATTAGGTTGCTTTTCTTAAATGGGGGCATGTTTCTGCATTTATGTAAGAAACGGCAAACTGCAGAATTGTTTAAATAAGTGTGTCATTTCATATCAGAAATGGACTTGAATGAACCATATGGGGCTTGTTCTGGCTTTGTGCCATTTACTATTAGGCTTCAGATTTAACCACATCTTTTGCTTAGACGTCTAGAGCTAAGCTAGAAGTTTTGGCTGAGATACAAGGAGTGATGAAAAACACATGAGCAGTAACAAGTTTCTTAACATCATTCTTCAGTACTCAGATAGACTAATCCACAGAAGCAGTTTATTCAAGTAGCACCCAGACTGCCAGGAGCAACAGGAACTTTAAAGTAATTTTTAGAAACCATTTTACTATTTACTGCTCATTTTATACAGACTTGAACCTGAGTTCGGTATAGCAAAGAACTGGAATACTTTTTCTCAGGTGGAATATTCTTTTAAAAGGACTTGACAGTCTTGAAAGGTATGGTTTTTAAAAAACTTTTCATAACCACCATTCTAATTTAGCAGCATGCTTTTGTCATTGATAACATAATCTAATTAACTACGATGTTTTAAAGTAAATATTAGGAGAATATATTGGCAATGTCATTAATGTTTTATATTGTGGACAACAAAAGAAATACAAATATGTAAGATGGGGTTTTTTTACTATGAGGAAAAAAAACCTGTCCTGTTTTTGGATGCTTGTGCTACAATCCTATGCATGACTACTATTAAGTAAGCCATACCAAATACTATAGCAGTTACTTCCAGTAGGCTGCATATTACTGCAAACTTGGTTATTTTTTGTTTAATCCAGTTTTCAGATATTGATAACCCTAACAGGTTTAATTGCTACCATGCAAAGTAAAATCAGGTTTAACAAAGATAAAGGAAAAAAGTTCATTGACCAGCAGAAGTTCATAAAAGCATGGACTCAGTTAAAAGCACATCATCTCTGGTGTTTTGATAAGAGGAAATCAACTATTTCTTCTCCAAAACAAAACATCACTCTGCATTTAAAGCATGTTTAAATTTGCAATGTTATAAATTACTATTTCTGTAAGTCTATTCTCCTCTGTGTCTTGGAAGGTTTTATTATTTTCTCAAAGGATGCAAGCACAAAAAAGACTTAAAGATTTGAGTATGAATGGCAGGTGCTGAACTAATGCGTTGTTTAAGATTCTTATTTCTTTCTATGGATTCAGTGCAGGGTAGTCACCTGGGGTTCCTAACAAACATAAGGATTTCCCATGCTTTTCTAGAAGGAAATCAGTAGCTCGTTGGTGGCCAAATCAAATTCTTCATAAACCAGGTTGGCTGCCTACTGCTTCAGAGTGGCAATAAACAGAAGCTCTTGTGATGCTTTATTTGTGAAAGCACTTCAGTGTTGGTTATATTATGATTTTCTCTCTCTGTGTATGTTGTAGTATGTAACCATGGTCCCCTTCCAGAAACGGAAGGAGTTTCTCTGTTTGCAGGAGAGCTGTGTAGCCAGCAGGGGGCTTCACTAATAGAAAAGCCCATTATTTTGCACAATTTCTTCCTCTTCCTGAAGCTCCCAATGCCAACTTCCATAGATTTTTGGAAGGTCTGCCAACCTTCTGGAGCAGACAGAGGGCACATGTGGAAGTGAATCACATGGGAGTGCTCTCCAGGATGAAAATCTCTATCGGTTGGATTCAACCCTTTGCAGTAAGCATATGGACATTAAGTATGATATTATTGCAGATATACATACAGCAGAGTCTTGCTTATCCAACCTTTGCTCGTCCAACACAGTCTGCCTCCCACCCGGATCCACAGCTGTTTCAATACATTGTGATGTTTGGTGCTAAATTCGTAAATACAACAATTACTACATAATGTTACTCTGTATTGAACTGCTTTTTCTGTCGATTTGTTGTAAAACATGTTTGGTGCTTAATTTGTAAAATGTGCAGCATAATTTGACATTTAATAGGTTTTTCCTTAGTCCCTCCTTATTATCAAACATTTTTGCTTAACCAATGTTCTGCTGGCCCGTTTATGTTGGATAAGTGAGTCTCTACTGTACAATCTAAATAGGCAACATGTTCAGAATGCCTTAAAAGAGCATCAGTGTGAAATAAGTGCCTCGCCTCTCAATGAAAACAATGAAACACTCTAGAATTTTTAAAAGGACAGTATTGCACCTTGCCATAATTTATGATTTGGTTTATGATTTTTCCTTTTTGTGAAAATCATTTAGGCTGCCTTAAGTATGCTCCAATGAATTACATAGATATTTGTGTTGTGGGTTTTGAAGCAAGATTATATTATATATAAGCATTTTTTGTCAAAGATTAATCAGAAGGGGCTTTTAGGGCTCTGCTTTATGTTTCAATATACTTGTGGTCACTATCTCCAGTATCTCAATTCTCAATTTAACTCTCTTATGTAAAGTAAATTACAGAAGTTGGCATTATAGAAATTCTAGACAAGTTGGCAGCATACACTAAAATTTATTTATTATTTATTACATACACTTTTACCCTGCCCATCTCCCCCCGAGGGGGGACTCAGGGCAGCCTCACACAAGCACTGTAAGATGCTATCATAATATAAATAATCAACAAGTACATAAAAACATTAAAACAATTCATTAGAACAACAGATCCATTCTTCCAAAGTTAGGTTTTTCTGAAGTGCTTTCCATAGAACTAGTGGGCTTAATAAAGCCACTGTTAAGTCACTATGTCAACAGCACATTTTAATAATGTGCAGAATCTCTGTGCACATTGGAGATTATTCCTTGTTAGAAAAGTTACGAAATTAAATAAGTTTCAATATGATTCAACTTACTGATGATATGATTTAAAACAAAGTGTTGATGTCTTAGAATATTTGACAGTTTTAATGAAACAAAGATCACAGTTTATCAGATAGAGACTCTTATAGTAGACTACAGTTCTAGGTTGGGAAACAGAATATACTTGAAAAACTGAAATAATTTCCCTAAAAAAACAATGTGCTTGCATGTGGTTCACTCATCAGAGAGTCATGATATTTGCATTAATATTACCTGTAAAATACTAGTAGGGCTGATGGAAAGACATCATTGCCTTAGGGAGAAAATTAAATGACAATAATAGAGTCTACAAGGTATAACTAGCAATGAAGGAAGAATAACTTATCTTTCAGGTACAGACAGGTTCCCATTTTATGCATTATATGGGTAAAACCACTGTAGTTAAGATTATATAGCTGGATTAAGTATACATTTCTCAGCAAGCTAACTGTAAGTGCCTCCTTTCACAAAATCATGGTCAGGAGAGTGAAATGGACATGGCTTCGCTGCTCTTTGATTACAGGGTGGTGTCTTCAACCATAAAATATATGAAAGGAGTGAGAAATAAGTCTTCTCTGCTCAGTTAATTCTGTAGACACTGGAATAGTTAAATGGACTGCCTAGGCAACAGGCCAAAAGCGTGCCATTTAAGTTAAAACAAAAGTCTACATGCCTTTTCAGACAGTCAGGCCACTGCAGTGACAAGCATGTTTCTTTAGCTGTTCACACTTCTTACTTTTTTAACTGTTGAAAGGAATTAAAGAGAAAACTAAACACACTAAAGTATTTGTTTTAAACATTCTGGAAGATCTTTTGCTAAAGTACTTAGAGCCTTGCAGAATAGCTCAAAAGTTTCTTCATTGAAGGAGGGAGTAGAAATGCAGCTTCAGGTTAGATAAGGACTCGGTATCACTTAACACAGAAAGCATTAGAAAAAGAGGAAGACTGCATTCCGGATAGATAAGACTCAAGCAAGGAAGCCACAGATGAGTGTACAAGACTTGAGCAGGATTGCTGAAGACTTGGAGATCTGCCATTCATAGGATTGCCATATGTTGAAGTGGACTTCATAATTCAGAATGTGTAAAAATGCTAAAATATAAGGAAAATCTGCATACACAAATGCACATGAAAATTCAAAAAAGAGGGTGAAATAAACAGGTATCTACTGCTGCAAGACTCTCATCTAATAGAATTTTCCTTGAGACTCATTGTAAGCTGCCTTCTCTGGAAACGAATCTTGCAATCTTTCTGTCATTTCTAAAAGCTTGCAAGCATGCCAGAAAGCTCCTCAGAACTACTGATGACATTATATCTTATGGGTGCTATATAGAACACTTTGGAACTCTTTCACTAGGATTTGCTTTAACCTGTAGCTCTATAGGGTATTCTAGGTAAACTTCCAGAAGAGTGCCAACAAATTAGCAATTACGTTATTATTGGGTTGCTGTGAGTTTTCCAGGCCATGTTCCAGAAGCATTCTCTCCTGATGCTTCGCCCACATCTATGGCAGGCATCCTGAGAGCTTGTGAGGTTTGTTGGAAACCAGTAAAGTGAGGTTTATATATCTGTTATTATTAATATTATATTATTATTGTATTTATTTATATCCCACTTTATATCCCCAAAGGGGACTCAAAGCGGCTATGTTATGTATTGTGCGTAGTTTTGGACAAAGAAAAAAATAATAACAAGAGGTCATTTGGAAAGCATGGTGGAGGAGCTGCGGCCTTTATTGGGCTCTTTAAGAAAGATGTGGAATGGGTTTCTAAAGATGCATCTACACTGCAAAATTAATATAGTTTGACATCTTCTTAACTGCATTACTCAATGCGATGAAATCATGGGGGTTGTAGTTTGGTAAGGCACCAGCACTATTTGGAAGAAAAGACTAAAGCCCATGTAAAACTAAAACTCCCATGCAATGGGGGTTTACTAGAGTTTAAGTACAACACAATCTAGAGGACTTAAGCTTTTGCCATTCCTTTATGGGACTCATAATGACAGGTTATTATTATTATTATTATTAACTTTATTTATACCCTGCTTACATCTCCCGAAGGACTCGATGCGGCTTACAAAGGCCAAGGACCTCAATAAAACAACAGCATAACAAATACAACAATAAAACTCATAAAGCAAAACAATAAACATTAAAGCAATAGCAGTAAAACATTAAAACACTAACATCATGACACATTTAAAACTAAAGGCCGGGCCAAATGTAATGAATAAAATTAAAAGTGCTGGACATGACAGGTGAAATGTAAGGGTTTTAGGGGTAGGTGCAATGTGCAGACAATCTTAAATCTCTAATAAAGTGCGTTTGGGACATGATGCTGGGAGTTTCCTATTCTGGAAGGGCACACTGGAACAGCCAGGTCTTCAAGCTCTTCCTAAAGACTGCCAACGTTGGGGCTTGTCTGATGTCCTTGGGGAGAGAGTTCCAGAGTCGGGGGGCTACCACAGAGAAGGCCCTGTCCCTCGTCCCCACCAAACGCGCTTGCGACGCAGGTGGGATCGTGAGCAGGGCCTCTCCAGAAGAACGGGAGGGATCGTGTGGGTTCATATATGGAGATGCGGTCACGCAGGTAGGCGGGTCCCAAACCGTTTAGGGCTTTGTAGGTGAGCACCTGCACCTTGAATTGGGACCGGAAAATGAACGGCAGCCAATGGAGCTCCTTAAACAGGAGTCACTCAATTTTTCATGACCCCAGTGTCCATCTATTGTTCCTGGAAATAAGAAAGTAATTATAAGTCATCTTGCATGCTCAGGTCACTGGCTGAATAAAGAGTCCCTTCAGCATAGTTAACTGGGATTGATGTCTTTAGTAGCTGTCCAGAGTGGTGACTATCTCCAAATTTTCAGCTCTTGATAGCTAGGCATTATAGAAGCAGTCTGTTCTGAGTGATTCCATGTGATCTGCAAACATGGCTATAATTTCTCTAAGTCCCCTCCCACGCTAATGGAAGAGAATCAAGCTCATCACAGGCTTGTTGCAGTTGATCTCTAAGGAGTAGTACATTTATGTTGTGCATCAGTCAGCAGAAGATCTGGATGCAAATTCAGTTGTCGGGGAAAAAGGAGCGCCTCTCAATTATTGCCGCGACCACTAGTCTTCTCAGTTGTTGTGATGATGTTGTCATTGGCTGTCTTGCTCTTCTTTCATACCTTTCTTTCATACCTTTTGAGGACTTGGACAGTTGGGATTTACAATACAATAACTGCTGAAGGGCAGTTATTGTATTACTCTCTACATTGGGAAAATAGGCCTGTCTCTACATCAGGTGATAAATGGAAAGACAGAAGAACCAACTGCAGAACGCTTCCATCTTCCTTGGAACTCAATTTCTGATCTAAGAACAGTTGTTGTTGAACAAAAAAAACTATTAAAAAGATTGGAAAGGGAAGCAGCAGAATTGGGATTTACCCATAAACCCTGGAACAGGGCTGAACAGAAACAATGGTTTCCTGGTATACTACACATATTCGAACACTAGACCCCAGCGTCATGACAGATTCCTTGACCAGTTTATTACATCTCCTTTCAGTTCCCACAAAACATGCCAATATCTGCCTTTACCATTCATTCATATGATCATCTAGACATCTTGGATTTAAGCAACATCTTGGTCCATCAATGCCATTTTTAATATAGAACTTGTCATTTCATTACCATACCCACAAGGTTTGCATTTCTATGGCTATTAAAACACACTGCCTATAAAGATCTGTTCATAGGCATCTGAGGATGAGTGTTTGCAAAAGCTTAAGCTTCCAACTTTGTTCTCTCAGTCTCTAATGTGCATGCCGAAGGCTGTATGAGTCTCCCATTGGCATTAAGAAAAAGTGTAAACCAATCATTTCTAACAAACAAACCAGATCTCCATAAATAAGTTAATATCAACATCCAACACATTCATATACAGCAACATGCCTAATTTTAAGCTATTTAAATGCCAGATAGTTTCTAGTATGCATTTACAAAATTTGTATTTTGTTTTAGGACTCTGAACCCTGAAGACATGAAAGAATGTGTGCTTTTCCTTCTGTTGGCTTTATGTTCTGCAAAGCCTTTCATAAGTCCTTCATACTTCAATTTTAAGAATGTAATGCTAATGGATATGGAAGACCTTGATGATGACGACGATGATGATGACGATGACAAGGATGATGACAAGGATGATGATAATTCTCTTTTTCCAACTGGACCTTCCATAATACCTTTCGACTTATTTCCAGTGTGTCCTTTTGGATGTCAGTGCTACTCCAGAGTTGTCCACTGCTCTGATTTGGGTAAGACCAATAATGTACACTATATTATCAATGACCATGTTTGTTCAAATACAGGGATCACATGCTTATTTCTGAGATTATGTAGTACACTTATGAAACTATTTGGCAATGCTATGAGTTTTGCCTAGCAATTTTTGAGTTCCAGACGCTCATTTGCAAATCAGTCTCAATCGGTTCATTAAATTAATACCTGAAGTACCACAAAAAACAAACACTACTCTTGTCAAGGGATAGAAGATTCTATAATGAAGCTCTCCATTGCATGTGAACATTACATTCATAAGAACATAAACACACACAACCTACTCCAACTGCATGTGTGTATGTATACACACACATATGTGTGTACATGTGAACACTTAGCCATTTATGCGTTCATATATTTTTTATAAAATCTCATGCTATTTTATTGAAATTGATTGTAAAAAATCAATTAAAATCTTGATTTCTGAATTCTAAATTATTTCAAATTTTGAGAAAATGATATGTGAGATCAACTCAGTGAGCGCAATAATCTGGTTTGCCTTTTACCCCATGTAAGAACTAGACACATGAATAGCTATCATTTTTACTTCATTTTCCCTTTGTATTTTTAAACACTTAATTCGTTTCATCATGGATGTGAAATATGGAAATAGTAGTGAATTTTGTCATATTCTTTTAAACAGAAAATCTCATGCATTTGCATCAGACACCAGTTGTCCTTGGTGGCTCCAATATCTGCCAGACTATGAATCTGCTCTGGCATTTAAATATAGCTTTAAAAAGCTATATGAGGCGCATAATCTATTTTGAGGTTGGCTTCATTTGAATTCAAAGTAAACCCTGCTGTGTGTTCACTACCCAACTGACATGGAACACAATAGTTGAATATGTACATGCACAAACGTCTTTGGGGTTCTTAAACTTTATATTATCTTTGTATTAGATTTCTTGCTCTGCAAAAACAGACAAATCAGTTTCATCTTCTGAAAAGTAGAACATCCTTTGGTGCACATAGAAGAAAACGAATATTTTTAAAAACAGAGCTCTGGCATGAACAACTGAGAGTCAATTTTTCCAGTTGATATATTTTTAAGAAATTAAAAGATTGGATTTTCCCCCCTTTGGAACATGAACTCTTGCCAAAATTGGAACATGAACTCTGGCAGTCAGATATGATTTGTTGTTAAGAGATGCACATTTTCAATTTTCAATTTTATATTTTATTCTTCATAATTAGGTCTGACTTCAATACCAAAGAATATTCCATATGACACTCGCATGATAGACCTTCAAAACAACAAAATAAAAGAAGTCAAAGAAAATGATCTCAAAGGACTCACATCATTATATGTAAGTTTGTTTTCTAACATTCATCACATTCCTTTCAATGAAAGACTATAACAATATATCGCACTTCATATATACTGCTGTAATATGTTTACAGCAGAAAGAGACAGAACTGAAGTATGAGGGAAATTTATATTACACAAACACATTTAATTAAATTTGTTTGCTTCCATGTCCATTTGTTAGCACATAAATATCAATGGAGGTATCTAAGGTGTTCAATCCCATCAGCACCTTGGATTGCTCCATTAAAGTTAGGGTTAAATCCGAGACTGCAACTGATATGAGAGCCGCCAGCAGATACTGACCTATTCATATTCTTAAAAAGCCTTTCCAAGAATGAAATATATATATATACTTTTTTGAAAACTTCACATGATTATAAAGCTTTGAGTCTTCTGTAGGAAAGACAGGATATAAATGTGTGTGGGAGAGCAAGAGTGAGACAGAAAGAGATATGATCAAAACAAATGAATGATCAAGTGAAGAAAGCTCTGTTTAAATTTCTTAGACTGAATACTGACTGCATTAGACTGAGAAAAGATCTAAATAAGAATTGGATTTACACAATACTGATCACTCATTTAGGCAAAGGAAATGGGCCAAAAATGTTGGAATTCAAGTCCTTTCTCATATCTAGCATCAATAATTCTGTTCAGTCCCAGGTGATTTTAAGAATATATCTTATGCCAAAATTGGGCATAAAAGTATTCTTGGAATTCTAAAATGATTCTCTCTTTCTCTCTCTCTCACACACACACACAATTATATATTCATGTAAGTGCTTCCTTTCTTTAAAAAAAAGAATATTCTTCTCCTGACCAAAGATCTTAAAAATACGTGTTCTATTTTTTATCTCATCTTATTATCACTAGGCACTTGCATTGAACAACAACAAGATAACCAAGATCCACCCCAAAGCCTTTCAATCAACAAAGAAGTTGCGGCGCCTCTACTTATCTCATAATCATTTAACTGAAATTCCAGCCAATCTGCCAAAAAGCTTAGCTGAGATAAGAATTCATGATAATAAGGTTAAAAAAATACACAAGGAAGCATTTAAAGGAATGAAGTCTTTACATGTTTTGGGTAAGTGTGGTATGTATGTAAAGTTGCTGTATAAAAACTGTATTTCACCCATCAGCAATGCAATGGAAATTAAGACTTAAATAAGCCGTTGATGAAGAGGAAGTAATTTTATAGCTATCTGCCAAGCAACCTAGGCAGAGATTCCAAGATAGTAAGCAGCTAAATGGTGGAGCAATTCAGATCTGGAAAAAGCCAATGATTATGTAATTGAAAAAGTACAAATTATTTGGCAGTGTCTCTAACATTAGACCATAAACTATGTTTACAATTAAAGATCAAAGAAACCTAAGCCAAAGTTGAATACTAATTTATAATAAAATGGGCATTCATCAGCTTTGTTATGAAAACCTTCTTGTTCTATTATACAGAGCATGCGACATAACTGTATCCTTCAGTTCAAAGCCCTCCTGGCTTGGACAGAAGTTAAGGTAGTCTATTAACCAACACAGATGGGCACAAGCCAATAAGTACTCTATATACTCATATGTAGGTCTAGACATTTTAATCAAAAAATCAGCCCAAAATACCTGGTTAGACCTATCCATAGGTCAATGTGACAATTGTACCTTAACTCTTAGAAAAAAGGGGATCCACCCTCTTCTCTAAATAGATAAGATCTTACTCCATCCTGGGAGAACCAAAAAGAAGCACTGATTTCCTCTCCTCTCTCCACTGTAGTGCAGTTTCTAGCCTTTTTTAATCCCTGATCACCATTGGTGCTTTATCCATGGGCCATATCAAAACCCATAATTTGGCCCACAAACCTGCCATTACATGAGTATATAAGGCTATAGCTTAACATAGGTTATTCTGGCCATATTATTTTATTAAAATGCAAAAATCCATGTATAGTTCACAACTACAGTTTTCAAAACAAAACAGTGCTTTCCCACTTTTCATTCTTTTATAAGCAATTTTCACCAACAAGCTGACAGCAGAGATGAGTCAACTCCATCAGGAAAGTATTAATTTGTTCAGATCAGGCATTACTCAATAAGCCAAACATTCTTTAACAAAAGCTTAGCATAGAGGTTTAGCTTTTAAAATAAATTATGCTCGACTTGTCTAGTTTAGATGTGGGGAATCTCTGATTCTTTTCTGTGATTCTTTTCTGTGGAAACTAGTAGAAAATTCTCAAACATTATGCATCAATGTTAGCACAAAACTGCTTCCATTTATCCTTTCATAGCTAGAGTGGAATTACCCCCATTTTTTCCATTGTTGTACATTATTATGTATATTAATAATGAAATGACTCCAAACTTTCAGCTATCTAAAAAGTTCTGGTGTCTATACACAAGCACAGATTATATGATGGAAAGGGACGAAGAATAAGCAGAATCAGAAGATAAATAATACACACCCACCCATTGGAAGCTGTCCAGAAAGACCAGACTATGGGGGAAAGCAGGGTTCTGGCTCATGAGGAGAGCCTCAGTGGAGATGAAAATATTTCCCTCTTCTCACTATGTTATTTTCAATGATTTAGGATAGGCCTAGCATACCCCTTCCTCACAAGTGCACTGCACAAACTTACCAAACAACAAAAAAGCCTTTTGTTAGTCTCCTATTAGAGCTCTTTAAACGACGTAGAAGCCTCATTACATCTTGGGCAAATTAATTATTTCAGTCTTAGGGAACTGTTTGTTTTTTGAAAGGCTAGTTGAAGCCTTTGAAATAACTGCATGCAACTAAAAGTAAGTGTTCCCTGACGTTTTAGAAACTTTGATGTATCTATGTTTTGAATTTTGGTATTTAGGCTGTGACTTAAAAATGAATGAACTTTTAAAAGGCCTTAATTATTATACAAATGATACTGGAACTCAACTTTTGTCATTAAAACTGTCTTAGGCCCCATCTACACTCACCATTTAATGCAGTTTTAAACTAGTATTGAAGAATGTGGTTTTGCTGTGCAGATGGTTACACAGAAAATCCTGGAACCAGTTTGAGGCCCAGATGGTGATGACACAAACTAGAATACTGATGCAAATACAGGGTTTCTTTCACGCACTTTTTTGAGGGTTTGTTGTCTAGCTGCTGCAAGTAGGATACTAGTTTCAAATGCATTAAATTGCCAGTATAGGGGGCCCAAGATGTGGACCATTTTCTCCCATATAGAAGTATGTAGAGAATAGTGCTTCCAATAAGTAAAATCATTGTACATTTTTGAAAGACCATTTATTTTATTAATGCTGCACATATCCTACCATGAGAAAGAAGATGCCTTAAAAACTGCAGGCATGTGAACCATAACTATTATAAAATACTTTACTTTGGCAGAGATGAGTGCAAATCCTCTTGATAATGAAGGAATAGAACCTGGAGCTTTTGAAGGTGTGACAGCATATCACATAAGAATTGCTGAAGCTAAATTAACATCTATTCCTAAAGGTATAGTATCTTTTTATGTTTAAAAATAAAATGTTTTAAATATTTGTTATCATACTGCTTTTCATTATGGACATTATGTTGATGAATTCAAATACTTCATCACACTAAGCTGTTAAAAGCTCCTCTCTAAACTACAAACCCCAGAATTGTGCAGGAGGCAGAAACCAGATTTAAAGTGGATTAATTCTCTAGTATGATAAGGTCCCAAAATCAATGTGATCTACTTGTGAAATAACACATACACATTTAATGCAAACATTAATAGTTTGTAATTCAGGTACACAAGTCAGTGACCATACTAATGTTCAACCATAAACTGGCAAAAATACACTTGCAGATGGGCAGACAGTAATAATGTATTTATCTTATTCATTTATATCATCATCATTATATATATTTATACTTTGCTTTATCTCTCCCAAAGGGGACTCAAAGCTTTATCTTTTAAAAAATAGGGATTCAAAGTTGTTGACAACATAAAAGAATTCACATTAAAACAATACAAAAGCATGAATAAGAGTATAAATATAAGATTCAAAAATAATAAAGCAATTCATAAAGTCAAAAGTTCACATTTATAATAGTAAAGGGCATTAAAAGATTGTACACAAACTATAAGCAAACTTTAAAATAGTACCGCATAGCCTAACTTAAAAGCCTAACTCTAGTCACTTTGTAAAGCCTACTAGCAAAAAATGTTTTGACTTGTCAACAAAAGGAGAACAAGAACAGGGCCATTCTGGCTTCTCTAGGGAAAGAGTTCCAAAATCTGGGAGTAGCCACCAGAAAGCTCCTTTACTTTGTTTCCACCAAACAAACCTGGAAAGTTTTTGGGATGGAGACAAGAGTCTTTCCGGATGATCCTAGAGCTCTAATGATCTAATAAAGGGAAATATGCTTCTTTAAGTAAGCTGGTCCTAACAAGTATAGAGCTTTAGAGGCCAAAGCTAGCACTTTGAATTATGCCAAGAAAGAGACTGGAAGCCAGTGTTGTACCAAATAAGCTATGTTCTCCCTGTAGCAAGTCCCAATCACCAGCTCATTGGACCTACTGGAGTTTCTGAGCACTATTCAAAGGCAGCCCTGTGTATTACAGTAATTGGAACAGGGTAACCAAGGCATATACCACCATAGTCAAATAGTCAGGAAGATGCGCAGTCGGCGCACTAGCTTTAACTGTTCTGAAACCTAGGCCCTTGGGCTCAGAGCTGAATCCAGGAATAACCTCAGACTGCAAAGTTGCATTTTCAGGGATTTATTTATTTATTTGACGTGTCAGAGCAACCAGTCCATTATATTACATTTCTAACAGAACAAAGCAAACAAACAAACAGACAAATACAAAACTTGTGAGTTTGGTAGTTGTTTAAATGTCCTTTGACCAGTATCTTGCCACTTGGAGTGCTTCCGATGTTGCTGCAAGAAGACATGTGCCTTTCATCTCAAGAACAGAGAAGCATCCCGAGCTCTGAAGATCACCTGGGAAGGAATCCCACTGGAGCATTGCAGCGCACCCAAATACCTGGGAGTCACTCTGGACCATGCTCTTACCTACAAGAAGCACTGCCTGAACATCAAGCAAAAAGTGGGTGCTAGAAACAATATCATACGAAAGCTGACTGGCACAACCTGGGGATCACAACCAGATACAGTGAAGACATCTGCCCTTGCACTGTGCTACTCTGCTGCTGAGTATGCATGCCCAGTGTGGAACACATCTCACCACACTAAAACAGTGGATGTGGCTCTGAATGAGACATGTCGCATTATCATGGGGTGTCTGCGCCCTACACCACTGGAGAAATTACACTGCTTAGCCGGTATTGCACCACCTGACATCTGCCGAGAAATAGCAGCCAATAGTGAAAGGACCAAGGCAGAGACATCTCCAGCTCATCCCCTGTTTGGGTATCAGCCAGCACATCAACGACTTAAATCTAGAATAGTTTTCTAAGATCTACAGAGACACTCGCTGGAACACCTCAGCAAGCGAGAGTCCAAAAGTGGCAGGCTCAAACCCAGCACCTCAACCAATGGCTGAGACCAAATGAGAGACTCCCTCCTGGGCACACAGAAGACTGGGCGACTTGGAAGGCGCTGAACAGACTGCGCTCTGGCACCACGAGATGCAGAGCCAACCTTCAGAAATGGGGCTACAAAGTGGAATCCTCGACATGCGAGTGTGGAGAAGAGCACACCACTGACCACCTGCTGCAATGCAACCTGAGCCCTGCTACATGCACAATGGAGGATCTTCTTGCAGCATTTTCAGGGATAGTGTAAGCTCATCTAACACAGACTGAATGCCTATTCCCAGATTCTGTCTTTTGACTAAGAAGAAACATCTCTGTCCTTGTCTAAGCTGTTCCTCCTATTCCAGACCATTAAAGCAGTCAGACATTGGTTTAGCACAGAGGAACTCCAGGGACCTACTGTCAGCAATGTGGGGACTAAAACTTGCTAACCCAGATTCATCCCATATTAGGATAATATGACCATGAACTTCAGTAGGCTTAAGCATTTCTAACTCTCTTTTGGACTTCATCCATAAAGTGGATGTGATTTTTGAGTGCTAACATCTTAACAAACTTTCCTTAAAAAAAACATGCAATTGATATGGTTCTTTATGAATCCAAGAGAAAATGGTAGTAGATGCATTTAAATAACGATCGTAAGTTTTAGAATACAAGTTGTTTTTCATATTAAATGCAACAACTCACATTTGGTCTAAACCCAATCTTGAACCCTTCCAACCTCTCCTTTCTAGAGCCTTTAGCCCTGACCAGAGGTTATTCCATCTCTGCAAAGCACATTTTGGGGTCCACGGGGAGTGCAGTGGGAAGAACAAAGCCCCTGCTCCCAATTCTAGTGATACAGATATACTACATTGGGTTTTGGTGATAAAATACTCTTGCCTAATTTACCAATTTATGACCAGCAAAGCACACTACTACCCACGCTAGAAAAATATAAGCAGAACTGGAATGCTAAGGACATTCTTTGGTGTTTTCATCCTGGTGTTGCCAGGACTAATAGCTGTGGAGATTTAATTTTCCTAAGCCGCAATGAAAACCAAAGGCATGCTTGAGGTCATGGTACAGTACAGAAAGCAGATAAATGAAAATAATAAACACCAAGACTTGAGATTTCAATGTCTTCCATTTTCAAGCACACCACAGAAACAACTTTTGGGTTATTCGCTGAGCACAGTTGCCAACTATTCTGAGATACTGGTGTTCCCTTAGATTTAACTTGGAAATTATTCTGCAAATCAGCATCAAAAAGGGCACAAGAACACTATTATACTTACAATTTTCCATAGCTCATACTGGCAAAACATCCCTAACAATCATAAAGTGTAACTATGAGATTGGGTTATGATTCTATGATGAGACGACGCGGATGATTTAGTTTAATTATATGTATTGTAAACTGTTTTTATATGTTGTACACCGCCGTGAGTCGCCCTAAGGGGCTGAGAACGGCGGTCAACAAATGCAATAAATAAATAAATAATAAATAAATAAATAACTGCTTCATCGTTTGGAAAAATCCTACATATGGTAGTGATTCTTGCATATTTTTATTAGAAAAAAAGAAAGAAATTGCACACCAATTGCTGAGAAATTCCATACAATTTCCTCGCTTTTGCTGATTTTAGGAAGAACTAGTTGAAAAATTAAAATCTAAAGGATATATAAAATGAAACTACAGAGCTACACAGGCCAATGGAGTAACTTACTATTTGATGGGGCCTGAGCATGCAGAACTGCTATGGTGAAATTTACTGGCAGAAGTGGCATCGCTATAATTTAGTTCTTATCTGAGATAAGCACAAAATGCCCAGGTGATCGGTGATCCCTGTTACAAATATAACATCCATGTTTGAAGCCGTTGGTGCTGTGTGTGTAAGCAGATCTTCTGCATACTATAGAATCATAGAAACATAAAATCATAGAATAAAGTTGGAAGAAACTACATGGGCCATCTAGTTCAATCCCCTGCCATGCAGGAAAAGCACAAAGAGCACTCGACAGATGGTCATCCAGCCTCTGTTTAAAAGCTTCAAAGAAGGGAGACAAGTGATGAATTTGTTGGACTTTGTACTCTTGGCAAAGTTTGTATTCCAACAAATTCTAGAGCAGTTGAAATCCCCCCATTATTACTATATCTCTTCTTTCTTTATGTTTTGTCATCTGGTCAAGGAACGCTTCATCCAGTTCTTCCATTTGGCTTGGAGGTCTGTAGTAGACCTCTAAAACTTAAAAAAATATTTACACATGTGAAGAGATGCAAGACTTCAGTCCTGAAACCAGGTTGAGCGCATCTGGATAAGAATTAAGGGAACAAGGACTAAAAAAGAGGTTTCAGTTACGCCTAGTACTTTCAGTTTCCAAGCATAATGTCACCCTCTCCTACACAACCTAGTTTAAAGTCTGCCTGATGTGGATTGCCAGTCTCTGATATAATTCTAACATTTAGTAGTGTAAGAACTGTTGAAAACACGTGTCTAATTTTATAACCTTGCTTTTTATAATCTTCTTAATAGGGCTGCCATCTAGCCTACTGGAACTCCACTTAGATGACAACAAAATTTCTGCAGTTGAGCTTGAAGATTTTATTCGCTATAAAAACCTTCAAAGGTAAAATATGGGAAATTTATAATAGAAACACTTCAGATTTTCTTAATTTTAAAAAATGGTGCAGTGATGGTAATAGTATTAGCTCATAATACTACCTAAGACCAAAAAGACAAAAATACCTACCTAAGACAAAAGTTTCCCTTCTGCCATTGTTCCGTGATCCAATGAGGTTTATTTCTACAATATGCCAATTGTAATGGACTGGCCTACCTTAAAGACAAAAAACTGGCCCACCTTGCTAAACCTATGGAAAGCTGAGGGGAGGTAATAAGAAAGACAATTATGTAAATCATAAACAAATGAAGTGTTTTGCAATCCTTTGCAAATTATATGTAGAATCATTTTATAGTACATTACAGATTTTCTTTTCTTGACACAAGAAATACTTTTCAACTGTCTGCAATTGACATTAAGCAGAATATTGAGGGTTTGTGGGGGAAGGCTAACTGTACATTTTCTAGCAGTTCTTCTGTTGAGTCAGTGAAGGGAGTATTGAAAGATTCAATGTGAATGTGATAACTGTGGCCAATATTAATGAAACAGCATTTTTTTAAAAAAAACAGCTTGAGTATTTGGAATATATTTCTAAATGCAACTTTTGCAATGATAGCTATGGCTGAAGCACCAACAATAATTCCAACATGCAATATAATCATATTAGAGTGTTTTGAACACTCGTAATGTAAACAAAGGAGGAGCTATCAAGCTAAACACATTTGGAGGGACCAATGTTAGTAATAAATGGCATACTTTTAATTCTTTATATTACTCTTCTGATAGCTATATATAAAATGACCATTACTTGGCATTGGCTTTATGTCTAAGATTGTGCATATTACTCTGAAATATATAAGCACAAGTTTCATAACTGTATCACAAGAGGCACAATGAAGCAGGATGTACTACCTTCAACTGCTGCTACTCATGGTAAAATTGAATTCTGTTATAACAAGAAATAATACTAGGGGAAAGTCTGATAGATGCTGTGTGGAAGAAAGGATGAAACTGTATCTTCAATAGTTTTCTGTTGGGGACAGAATACATTTAAAGAGAATACTTCAAATTCTGTAAGTTGAAAAATGTTCCAGGGCCCGCTTATATGAAGCAACCAGTGAGCTATTTATAGAACCCTCTTTATGTTCATTTGGTACCAGGTGTTATCATAAAACACCTTGTGTCACCTACTTTAATAGCAATTTATTAATTTATCTCTAGATTGGGACTGGGAAACAACAAAATTAAAGAAGTTGAAAATGGAAGCTTTTCTAATATACCAAACATACGAGAAATACATCTAGAAAAGAACAAACTGAAGAAAGTGCCTTCTGATCTTCCAAACCTGAAGTATCTGCAGGTAATACACAACTTAGCTTTTAAAATCTTGTTTTCTCTTAGCCTTGTTTTTGTATAGAACAAGCCAGCACAAACAACCCTCCAGGTGTTTAGTAGTCTCCCAGAAGCCCTAGGCAGCTTTTCTAGTGGTTAGGAATTCTGGGAGCTCAAGTCCTATAGAACAGATATAACTTGTTATTGCACAATACATATAGTTTTTCAAGCAATTATTATAGTTATAATATGGGGGTATAATAATATTTAGCACTAATTTTACAACCTTCTCAGAATATAGTATAACATAAAATATGCATGCTTGGAGACGTATATGGAAAAATAGCACTAGTAAGAAAAAACACGACTCAGAACATACCCAGTATTGGTATTATACTGTCTGATTCCCTACCAATGGTGAGGTTTGCAAAGTTTTCCTCGTTTCCTCTGTCTCTCACAGTCATCCCTCTGCCCACACACACATTTGGCTTTCATTTCAATACTGTCATCAGTAATACATCTGCATCAGTGTCATCATTATATTTGTGACTTGGCAACCAGTTTGCTATGAAATTATACTCTATATATTAGCTTCAGAAGTTCCATATCTTTATTTCTACCCACATTTATCTGGGTTAGTCTGCACATTTTTCAAATTTTCAAGGAGAAAGCAACATCTGTGCCATTCTTTTTGTGTACTGTACACAAATTTTGTTTGTTTTGTTTTTCTTTTGCCCTCCTACAGGTAGCCTTCCTTCATTCAAACAGTATTTCCAAAGTGGGAGTGAATGATTTCTGTCCAACAGGAGGAAGACTGAAGAAGACATTATACAGCGGCATTAGCTTATTCAACAATCCTGTAAAATATTGGGATATCCTACCAGGAACTTTTCGCTGTATATTAAACAGAAACAGTGTGCAGATTGGAAACTATGGAAAATAAGATTCCATATCCAGAATATAATTGAAACAGAAAAGTTAAACCCAGCTTTAGAATACTTGAAATCTGAAGAGGGACAATTTTATATCATCCAATAACTTTAGAAAATACCTACAATTATTTCAAAACCTTTAAACAAAGCTCTTCTGATTTATTCTTTTAAATGTACAAATCATGTTATTAAGCAAACGTTTTAAAATAGAAGCCTTCCAAAACACAAAACTAGAAACTATCATTAATCGTTTCCTATTGTTGTTGCCCAAGCTATCTGTGTTGACTGGCTTTTAAAAAATCAAAATGCATATTATTCTGATTCAACTTTTATGTGCAAATGCTTCCTGTATAAATATTTATCAGATTTCAAGGAAGCAATTGTAAACATTTAAGTTAACAAAAGTAAATTAAACTGGCTAAGAAGACATTTTAAATGGTACTGTATTATTCATTTGACAATCTAGTACACAACTCAGATTAGATAATATTTAAATAATTGTTGTAAAGTGAAAGGCACGACTGATAATGTACACTTAGTAGCCTCAATGCCTTAAGTGTTTTTTCATGTACTTTACTTCTAAAATTGTATGTTTTTTTAAATAACAAAAGTACATAGGGGAAAAATGTTAACCATGTTGATCTCTTATAGTAGTTTGTTGTTGCCTTTATAGAAAGTATGATTACATTTGGTTCGACAATACATATGATTACATTCTTTTCAGGGCCAGTATAAATATACTGTTTTTATGTATACTGTAAAAATAATCTACTTCAAACAATAAACTGGGACACAGTGCAAACACCTATGATCATATGAGCTTTGTGCTGTATTGCAAAGGGATTCCGAACATGTGCACAATTACCCTGTTCAGAGAGGAAGAGGTCGCTAAATGCACAGAACTGTGCGCAATTATTATAGCCACTGAACTGTGACCATCTTATCTTGATCTAGAACATCACATGATTTCCATATTATTGCTTGCGTACTGTAACTCTGAGGAATCTAACCTACCTATAATGCAAAAAGTATTATTTCATAGTTCAGTTAGTAAATGGTAGTAATGTATAAAAAGGCAACTACATATTTAATGCACATGTCTTATTTAACTGTAAGTTAAGAGAACCAAAAGCTATAAATTATGGCTTATTAAAAATAAATGACTGAAAACTTTGCCTATTGTCATTCTGTTGTTCTCCAGTTTTAGTTACATATGCAAACATAGCCACATAATTTTCTATCTGTGAGAGCGCTCTTATAGCGGAGTTTCATTCAGAGGCTACTTCCACACACAGAAAACAGGGAGAAGCATTTTGTTTTCTTCTCCTCCTGCCCCTTGAACTCCTGACATTCTAATTCAGAGGACAGACAGATTCTCTGGAACAGTGGTCCTCAACCTGTGGGTCCCCAGATGTTTTGGCCTTCAACTCCCAGAAATCCTAATAGCTACTAAACTGACTGGGATTTCTGGGAGTTGTAGGCCAAAACACCTGGGGACCCACAGGTTGAGAACACTGCTCTGGAACAAAGAAAGTCAATACCAGAATGGGAAAACAGAAGGAACATCACCTCCCATCACTCTCCCTTTCAGTGACTAACGTTGTAGCTCTACACACTTGAGAATAAAGAATATAGTTCTAAATGGGAATGACAAGGGTTGGGCAATTGGCTTCATTTTTTTCAACATCCCAAGAACTTGATAACTGTGGATAAAGTTACTATCTCTCTTCTTTCTATTACAGACTAGGGCAGTCTGATATCTAATACACCAACTATTCAATAATGTTGCAAAGTGCAAAGCACAGTGGACACTAATTTGGGCTAAAGTTTGAGAAATTTGACACTGAAGCTGGAATAGTGTATTAAATAGAAAGCAAAAAGCTTTGTGTGTTGTTGAATGCATGGAAAACACAGGTTCTGACTGGCTCTGTGTATAACAGCAGCCTAACTATAAAAAAGATAAGCGAGTATGAACAGCTGCCATGTCAAAGGGTACTAGCTAAGGCAAGCAGAAAGTCATATAATTGATCTGGAGGATGTAGAAAATGCCTAGAGAAGTGTTCTCTCTATGCCTCCAGTGTGACTCTAAGGTCAACTTATGCAAGAAGTTCTGGAGGTATTCTCTCTAGGCATTTGATAAGTCTTCCATTTCAATTTCAGGATATGTTCTGGTCAGAATCCCAAGACATTATTCAGTTCAGGAAAGAAAAATGGGGCTTCAGATTATGTGGAAATTGTATTATGCAGCAGAACATAATACAGATCCATTGTGTAGTACATGAGCCTACTATATAGCGACCACCTCTTTACTGACTGGATAAGAGCTGTCAGCTGACTAGATTGAGAAAGATATTAAGATATAAAACAGGCCAAAAAGAGATAGAATAGAGGTGACCAAGAATCTGCCTCCTACACAAACTTCAACTACTAGCATTACCCAAGTAAGCTGACAACGGCTTGAGCCTGGCAGCAATGCAGAGGCATCAGGCAACAATGTGCCCCTGTGGGTCACTCGAGTTGATGTTGGGGACATCAATGCACTGAGAGATGACCCTATTAGCACTTGGAGCACTTCTTAGAGCCGTCGCAAACTCTGTTCCTGCGGGAGCAAACCTTGCTAGCATGTCCCTG